TGCTGCCCCCTCCTGTGTAGCACAGAGGTCAATTGGAAAGGATCTCAAAAGATGTTCTGTGATATCTGCTTCTGCGGGCCGTTCTCTCATGTCAGGAGGGGTTGCATCTCATGACACGACACCAACATGACAGCGACATGATACCATCATGCCACTGTCGTGTCAAGCCCCAGGCTCTGCACCTGCAAACTAGGTCAGAAAATAAAGTTTTCATGGTGACCTTTGCACGGCCGAGGGCCTCAACAGACTTATTATAGGCAGCTTGCATTGAACAGCGGTGCGACGTAGTTTGTGCTGTGCCAGGAGTCTAGAATTCCCTTCTCCCTTCCCTCATCCATCCATGCTGTCGACTGCCCGCCCTATTCAAATCCTACCATTTTTTCCCTCTGACTAAAACTACCGATTTCCCCCCCTCTCTCTTAAAATAACTGTGCCCACGGTGTGCGCACAGCCTCTCTCTAGCATCGTGAGACGTGGTCGCGACGTAGGTGCTACGTATGTCCAGGTTGTGCTGCGGTAGATGAGGCGTCAGGGTGCGGAGTGGCTCACTGGTCCCTGACTGTCCACCGGCACCCCGGCACCCAACGGCGAGCCACCCCGCAGGGCAGCGTGATCGCACCTTTTGTCCCGAAATAAGTCGGGCCCGTCAAATTACGCACAGTGAGTGACAGTGCCCTCTGGCTCGTTGCAAGTTATCCCTCAAAACGGGAGTTTCTTGTGGAATTGTCCGTGCCATGCCAGAAGAGACCAGGAATATCCCCGGGTAACCTCAAATCGGCCTAAGGAAAATAAATCTACACCTCGCATAGTGAGTTTAACTTTGACGAATGGAGTGCAAAACCCACCGTGAGACTTTGCAGTGTCACCACTCACCCTCGCACAAGTCTGGACTCCATGCTCAGAAATGTCATTTCATGTTTCATGTGGTACCAACTCAATAAATCACGCCAGCTTTACAACCATAAGGGGATTGCTCTCCAGTCTAGCGCAGTGTCAGACGACAATGCCCAGAAGCACTTGTACTATGGATGGTATGGACACAGGGCACGAAAGAAAGAGTGTCTCGTGCTCACAGCTAATCGTTAGCATGCATCTGTAAAACATCTGTCTTATATTTTGCCCAAGACAAGACAGCAAAGGCAACACAGGTGTCACGCTACGATAGTCTCCCTTGACCCAACGTACCGTTTTACCGATTGAGAAGTCAAAGCGAGTCACGGAGCTTTCCCACTCGAATGAGCTTCCAGCATCGTTCATCTCCATTACAGCCCAGTGCCAGTGGCAGAAATTCCATATGACCATGGTGGGCACCGCTCTATCCGTGAGAACAACACTGCCGACTTCCACAACGCCATAGGGATGGATGTCTGAGCCAATGCTCCGGCCGGGATTTGACTTTGCAAGCTTCTGATTGAAGTGCTCTGTTTAAACTCACAGAAGAGTAAAAGCCACTCGCAGCTTGATGTGGTTCGAGTGCACCGTCCATCACGACAACGCGGGGGATCGGAATGAGAAGTCACAACGGGGCAACGGGTGAGCTCCACCACTCGACCATTCTCTGGGCTCACGGTCAGTCGTCTGTTGTCCCGCTGCTCAGATTCACCAAGTAAACAACTTGGAATATTTTGTTTTGTTTCATTGTGCCATTGACATTGTAGCACGAGACAAATTAATTCATTCGGATCTCTCGCAGAGAAGTATCCAGGACGGCACACGAAACTTGACGTGACAAGAATACTTCTGAGATTCCGTCAAGTGGCCTCTGGCACATACATTAGGAGGGTGGCACTTCTCTACCTACTCTGTCACTGACAGTAATTTCCACCGCGTGACAGTCCACTCAATACTTTACACGTTTAGAGATGGTGATGGGGCCAATTGCAACTTTAACGGGACACAGCACCGGACCGCCATCACCCGGTGGCTGAGCCAAGGTGGAGAGCACCTTCCCCTACGCCTGGAACGTCTCCACCGGCGGCCACAGAGATCCCACACTCGCTTGGAAACAAACACGGCATCCGAGTTACTGCGACGCTCCCGTTACGCTGAGCTGCAGCTGCTCCAGACGTAACCGCAAGCGAATAAAAACCTCCGCGAGGTAGCAGCAACCAGATGCTGGACACGAGCCCCCTGATGCCGTCCACTGTTATTCAGCCAACGCAACGTAAACTCACGGGCATTGTGGGGCTTTCTTGCGTGTCGTTAAAAAATCTAAAGAAAATGTTCTTGTGCATAGTGACCACATCGCGGCGGATAGTTACGTAATGACACACGCCCGGCCAGTGCCCACAGCGTGGGTCTGATTAGCATGCCGGAGGAGTTAGTTTACCAGAAACAGATTTAGCAATGATTTATCTATGATTCGTCTATGATTTTAGGAACAAATGCATTCCCCACCATTTCTATCTCCATCAGGTCAAAAGTTTGACGTCGCTCTGGGAGAGGCTACACTGTTGACAAATCGTCGGGCCAACGCGAGGGTAGTGGGCGGCTCTTAAAGGCTGTCCTCATCAAGGCGCTGCTGGCAAGAACATCTGGAGTGTTGGGGTTTGTCAAGATTAGGTGCCAAATTACAAGCAACACTGACATTTTTCTCAACACGCCGTATATCATTGCAACCCTACAGAGTGACCTTGGCTTAGCGGTGGGACATACAGACACACTCTCGGTGGTGGGGGCACGACACAGTCAATGTTAAACCAACGTTAAACAAATGTTCATGTTAAGAATTTAGGAGGGGGGTTGAAGCTTTAAAAGGGGGGACTCAGTTCCCTCCAGCCCCCTCTTCCCCCCCACCGCCCCCGACACAATGGGGCTGTGTCATGGTCTTGCTCCTCAACAGGAAACAGTGGTGAAAAGCCAAAAGTTGCAGCACAAAGAATACTGCACTCCCGGTCTCATCAGATCTCGGAACCTAAGCAGGGTGGGTGGAACCTGGATAGCGCTTTGATGGGCGACCACCGTGCATAACGGATGGTATAGGCTGCTGCGGGGCCACGTTCAGGGCAGTGCAGCAACATCTATTGTTGTACTCTACCTCGACGCACATCTATGCTCTCTCCTTTCGCCAATCCACACTTGTACATGGCCACACCTGGCTCTTCTGACATTGGCCATGTCCATTGCTCAAAGGCCCTGCCGACTCCTCTGCCTTTGCCCGCATCACGAGTCATCCATGCAGCCAGAGGAATTTAACGACGAGAAAATTCAGATTTTCGCAAAAAAGCTTTGGCACACCGGCACAGCCTTTTCTGAAACCACCGGGACTATCCCACCCAAATCAGGACGTCTGACAGAATTTTAACGTACGGTATCCTTGCTACTGAAAACAATAAACCATAAAAGGCCCACGGGCTTGTGCCGTGACGACTGGCAATGGGAATCCTTGCCATCTTTTGACTTCACGTCTCGTGTGTGAGTGTGGTGTCAATTAACTCTTTCATCTATGGATTGACTAACATGAACATGTCATCGCGACAACCATTACACCATTGCTGCCATCATTTACATTGCTGTCTCAATGGCTCTGTTCGTGTAATTAGAGATTTGGAACAATCCATAATCGAGGCTTTTGGCTTAGAGTGCGTAAATATAAATGCGTCGCGAAACCCGCCACCACCAGACACAACCAATGAGTAAAGTTTGTCTAGCACACCGGTGTGTTGGAGAGTAAACTCACGACATTTACAATTCGAGTACTTTACTAATTGGCTGTTGGGTGATGGCGGTTTAACGACACATTTATATTTACGCGAACTAAACAAGAAACCTCTATTATGGATAATATTGATCGCGAAAGCCTCCATGTTAAACAGGTTGGAACAATATTACACATTTTAAGTCAAAAGTAAATTTAATCACCAAGCAGAAAACTAAACTTATTACCATGTGTAGAAATAAGTCCACCAACTCCACTGGCAGAGGAGACAGACGAGCTGAGCCTGCCAGACCTTATGAGGCCTTCCACAAATAAGGGGCTATGGTATAGAATTACTTATGTCACCGCACAAAAGCTGTAAGTGCGATTTAGGATAAGATTAGTCGTAACTCTGAGTAAATAAGCGAGTTTTGACATTTGGCTTCATAAAGTTACGGGAAATATTACAAGTGGCTGATTGTATCCGATAATAATTACAACTATTTAATACAGTGGTACCCCGGAGATCGAACTTAATTCGTTCCAGAAGGCCATTCGAACACAGATTTGTTCGAACACCGAATTAATTTTCCCCATAATAATGAATGTAAATTACATTAATTGGTTCCAGACACAAGAAATCTCTCATTATAAAGCATTTTACACGAAGTTTACAGTATTTACATGCATAAAAGAATACAAAAAAAACAACACAATAAATAAATGGGGACATTGTGTATGGATAAACACCAAAAAACACTCAAATAAAGTAAATTAACAAAAAAGTTAAGGAACGATGTTTGCGGGTAACTGCACTGGGTGAGAGCAACGCGTTCACTGAGCCTCTCACACCGCGGTAAAACCTTTGTCTGGGCAGGCGTCATGCACACTGGCCATGCGCATCTCAGCCGTACAGGTTCTTTCAAGTCGCGATTGCCCATTCGACCTCCGAATTTCGTTCGGTTTCTAGGGCAAAAAATGCTCAGAAATATCGTTCGAACACCGATTTGTTCGAGTTCTGGTGCATTCGATCTCCGAGGTTCTACTGTAATTACTAAATTTATAATGAATAACATTAAGAATGAATTATTCATATAATACAAGTAAGCATTCATATGATCAACATGAATAGCATGAACATACCTCACCCGCACACCGGCTGAAGCGCAAGAAGGCATATTCGGATGTTTTGCGAGGTGAGTGTCATATCATGATTCGTTTCTGGCATAGCTCAATGAGTAGCCGGTGTAAACAAACAAACATGCCCCGTTCCGCGAGGGCACCCCGCGCTGGCACACCTCGAACACGCGCCGGTGGGAAAAGTGAAATCCACATTCCGAGCAGCACCGCGAGTCACACGTACCCAGGGTGGTGTCCTTGCCCGTGACGGAGGGTCCCTCCCCGCTGGCGTAGACGCCGCTCACGGACAGCTCGTACGTGGTGTCGGGCTGCAGCCCCGTGAGCTGCGTGGAGCGCGCCGCTCCGTCCAGCAGCCTCTCGCCGGCGTCCGCCTCCGACAGCAGCGAGCGGTAGGACACCCGGTACGAGGTGACGCGCCCCGGCGCCGCCTGCCACCGCACCGCCACGCCGGTCTCGCTGGCGTTTGTGCGCAGGCCGTGCGGCGGGCCCAGTTCTGCGAGAGCGTCGCGCGCACACCGCCGCGTCGTTAGTTTCACACGAGAGCGGGGCACGCGTGCGATGGACTGCGCTGGACTGCGCTGGACTGCACTGGACTGGGCTGGATTGCGCTGGACTGGCCTAGACTGCAGGGAATTGGACTTTCAGATACCTTTGGTGGAGTCGCGCATGAATCACCGCGTCTCAGTCACTTCAGTCTCGTTCTTCCCTGCAATTGCTCGCTCACGCCGCTGCCGGTAAAATGGCCTCCGCAACGGGGAGCTCTGGAGAGCCTCTCTGGGGGGTAAGTGACCTTATTTTCCACGCTGGCAATGACTTGGCAAGTTACCTGCCCATTGACTAACTGCGGTGTAGCAATCTCTAGTGCTCGGTGTATAGGCGTGGCGAGGAGATTTCAACTGCAATGCCAGGAGGTGGAACTGAACTGGCGACTTTGTCTTAGTGCAGTGAGCTGAACATTACACCCCAACAAGTCAGGTCAAGTCAATTTTATTTCTGCGTAGACACGTGGCGCCTTTTTGGCACAAATCTGCCACTCAAAGCACCAGTAACCCACTTATGTCTGAGCAGGCTAAAATTAGAAACAAAGCAATTCCAGTTTGATAACTTTCTCCCCTCCAGTACCCAATTAGTGCAGCCAAGACGCTTGCATCCAAGGACGAGTGGGGAAAGTCGTGGCCTCGATCTGGGCCATATCTGAAATTAAAGTTTGTCCGGCCGTGACGTCGAGACGTACAATGGAACACAGCCACCATCAGCCGCCTCCTGCCCTCGGAACCTCAGCATCGCTGACCCCTCCACCCTCCGCTACCCGCAAGGCAGAAACCCGTGTGGACAGTGCAGGTTCCGCCCAATCCCGTACTGCAACATGGCACCGACCGGGGTGGTGAAGTATGGTCAATCAACCCCCATGACAAATGCGACGTGGGGAAGCTTTCATCCAGCAGTGTGGTTTGATTAAGGGCTGTACGTTGTTGCGATTCTTATTTTATTTTCTCCTCATCCCTTTTAATATTAAGCGGCAGAAGCTTTGCTCTCCAGGTGCTTGTCATCAGCTGGGCATGACGTATTCGTTTCGCTCGCAAGCCACGTCGGCTATAGCCGGTGTGCCTATGAGAGTTCGAGTGAGACGCACGGCGCAGACATCTCACCACGGAGTCTGCGTTCCACAGCCAAAGGCCATCTCCGGCTTAAGGCAGATTTTGGGGAGCCGCTTGTTTTACAAGAGGCTGTGCAGGTTAATAGAGTGCAACACTGAGACATAACGCCGCATTTGAGGAACTTGAGCCCATTCCAGCAACTAACGGCCCTAGACATCACCCAAACACACTCACGGTCTGTGCAGCCTCACGATCGATGCTCTCATCATCTTCCTCAAGCGGCTGCGCATACACAGCAGCCATGTGTGTATGGATGGACTGACTGCCACAAATACGGATGGCCAGACCCATCAAACGCAGCAGGATATACAAACGGATAAACTGGTTTGCGTTGATGTCCGATAGACCGCACGCAATCTGCGGCGAACACTGAATCTTGATTTACTGTGACAAAAGTATTACTCTCAATTAAACACTCTACATTAAGTAAACTATCGCCCGGAATGTTCCAAGTGTATATATCTCAACGCCAGCCGCGTTTTACTGACTAACGCGATGATTCACGGAATCCCAATGACGTAACCGCCAAAGTGGTCTCATCGGTGGGAAGCAAAACTGGCGGAGCCGTGGGGAGACATCCAACTGCAACAGAGCCGGCCAGCGCCCTGCTACCGGTACATTCTGCAGGACGCATGCCGAGGCAACGTTCGTGCCTCGGTCCCCGCAGTGATATCCTGGCCCGAGATCCCCCATCCACGGGCTCAGCCACGCACACAAACCCACCACCCAGCTGCCTTGGCTGGAGACGGTGCTCGGTGCGCGCAAGCGGTGCTGCGGCAGCTGTGGGCGCGTGGCCGCGTGCCCGGCCTGCGGACCATGACGACGCACGCGCGTTTCGGCAGTCACTTAAGATTATCGTGTAAATAAATTGCGGGTTTTCTTTTTTTTGGCCAAGCCACTCGCGCGACGCCGGTCTGGTGATCGTTAACGAGCAGAGCGGTGGCGGCTGCCGTGCCCACGTGCAGAGTGCGCCACTCGGGTTTCGGATCGTCAGTGGTCCCCTTCGGCGGTAGTAGTGTTGTTTATAATCCAGATGTCGGGACTCGCAGTTTGCATCAGCTGCGTGCTTTCCTTGCGAGTAACATGTGCGTTACTGCCATTCACAATGGAGATTGATTTTTCTATTATGATATTGCTCTGGATTTTCCACGTTTCATTTCTTTTGGCCATGACCCCATGGTCAGTGGCTGTCTCAGATACGCAGATACTCTTGTTCATCTTGCGACACTCTACCAATGAGGATGTTTTTTATTCAACATGTTTTCATTCTTATTTCATCTTTAGGACATTAGAGAAATGATCATGATGACGATGTGATCAGCACCTGTCTAACGATTTCATCTTTACGTTCTCAACAGAAGCCGTTTTTTGTCCTCTATTTCATCTTCCTAGGACACATTTGAAAACCTTTGCTGTCACATTGTTCAGGGAAATCGATTAGTACTATTTTATTTGGTTAATATTTGTGTTGCATTTTTTTTGCCCATCCTATTTTAGGACCCCTGAGCTGAAGAAGCTGATCCCAGCTCGGAGACTACATCCATTCTTACGTCTGCATCCATTAACATGTGTTCGAGATGCCATATGAAAAAGCTGATCCCATCTTCACCACTTGCTGACACCACGCGATTGGCTCTCCGATGTCTTTTCATGCTGCACCGCGTGCTGTCCGGCATGATGTCCGACGTTTCGCTCCCAGTAGGCGGAGTGAAACGTCGTGCGACTTGCAGCCGAACAACACGCGGAACATTGGCGAGCTGTGTAGCGCAACCGCAACAACCTACGCACCAGGTGATAAGCCTTGGAATTCCACAAATCTATGGGGATTACCGATAGGAAATAAAACTACGTTCACTGGAGGACGCTGTTTTCTCTTGTGTTAACATTCGTTGCATTTGAAAGTCTAGATGCAGCGCTTGCCAATGTGCGGGAGCACGGCCTCCTCTGCGAGGGTCCGGCACCACGGCTGCCTTCATTTAGCGAGTGCTGCTCCCGTCGGAACGTTCCATAGCTGGTGCTGCGGAAGGGGCTGCTCACTGCGTGGCTGTTAACTCTTGGCTCCCTTGGGCATCTGTTCATTCTCTCACTCTGTTCCTAAGTATCATTCATTATTTGTTACGAACATAAACAAACCGAATTAATGTATTGCTGACAATTCGACGCCCAAGTGCTTCGTAAAGTAAAACCAAAGAGACAGGTCAAAGGATTTATAATTAGATTGTGTTGAATTGGTAATTTAATGCGAAGACATTCACGTATTTTATCTCTGAATCATAAGCAAATATTTGTCAGTCTCCTGCCATGTGAGTCCCCAGTGCACCAACAGCTTGGAAACCTCAGCCACCGGGCCTCTGAGTAACGATCTCTCACTCGCCCTCTCGGTGGGGACGTGATGATCACGCTCGTTTAACAACCAGAGACATCAGACCCTGTTCGTGCCAGACGAGACAAAGACAAAGATCCCCCGTATAGCCTAAACAGACTGTCGGGGCGAGTGTTGTTAGCGAACACCTATTAAGGTCGGCACGGCACACGAGGGGGTGGGTGGCTAGCACCTCGCCCGACCGCATTTGTTTCCCCAGTGGCGATGTTTACACACCTCACCAGGTACTTGTTTGAGGCTGAGTCGACCTAGGGAAGGCCCAGCACCGGTTCAGATAATCGTCACCGGTGTTGGCCGTGAGCGGGAATCGAACTCGGGTCGCCGTGTTTGTAACGCAGCGCGCTAACCGCTGCGCCGCCGCTCCCCAGGCGAGACAAACACGACTGCACATCCACTGCCCATGGCCCGGATTTGCCGACCGCAGAGTCTCGAGAAAAAGGCCGGTGAATGAAATTCCAGGTGCCTATGGAATGTTGTATGCTGGGTACGACCAACCTAACGAGCATGAATCTCAAACACGGTTGCAACGATTTCCGCTGGAATGTTTTCGCAGCTCTGCATGGCACCAACGTCGCCACCGAGGCCTGGCAACCTGATGAGATCCAGTGCAGTAGAAGCTGGACATTGTCGGTGGTCCCTCGGGTAGGAGGATGACACATCTTCTGCAGATCATCGGCGCGCCCGGAGACGGCTAAAAAGACCGATCTCAGATCTGCATGCTCGGCTGCAGATGTGTAGCTGGATATAAGCACACCCCCTGCAGATGTGTAGCTGGATATAAGCACACCCCCTGGGAGGAAGCCCAGCTGTGTCTTGCCTCACCCCCGCAAGTGCAATGTAAGCACGTGTTGCTTATATCACAGCTGTGCTTTTATAAGGCGTGTTGATATGCAGATTGCACTGCATAAAGACACTCTAGCTCTTGGGGAGTCACGGTGATGAGACACCAAGGACCTCACTGCAGTCCGCACCCCGGTGACAGACCCATCCCGTCACTGCCGTTGAACAAGCTCCATTTGCATTGCCCTCGAATCTCATTCTCCTGATGCATGAGCTCTCACAACTCATTTGTTAGTTATATCATCCGTAACGACACGAATGATTACTTTGTGTTACATACTTTATAGTTTTGCATTGAAATAGGACCCACATCTAACAGAGGAGACTAATGCTTTTTGGGCAAGTCACTAGCATTAGTTCAAGCAAGCCTGACTCTGCTGATGAGACACTCAAAAGTCGAAACCGGTGTTTTTTGCTTGCGTTGAACCTATGCCGCTAAAATGATACATTCCTAGATGGCCGTTTGCGTGATGGGATGTGTAAATAAAACACAATTTTTCTGACATGGAGAGGCAGACAGGGGGAGGAGGAGGCCTGTCTACTGCCGAGTTATCAGAATCAGAACATGTATTTAAAATGGAGGAATCCGATGAGCTACAAAGCTTTTTCTTCACAGATGTCCAGTGGTTTCACATTCGCACTGCACGCCCCGACACTCGGCCTCTACCGCGCGGCTCCTCGCGCGAGTCCTCTTCCTGTGCGCACTTAACGTTGAATTCAATCGCTGCCGTTGTTTTCCACAAGTGTACAAGTCGCAGCTGCTCTCAATCCCGCATTATCCAAATGGGTCTTTGTGTAATGCTGTCCGTCTCGCCGTCAGGATATTATTGCAGGGGAGCCTACGGAGGACGGAATGAATGAGCGGTCTCTACTCGGCAACGCTACCTTAACAAAACACAGCGGAATTTATGTACGTTGGCCACTCTCGGAGCCAATCTGGAAAGTTCTCTGACCCACAGTTCTTTTATCCATGGGTCCTGCGTTCCTCGCCCAAAATAACATTCCTGATGTTCTTATTTTGCGCAATTGGGGATAGAAAATATTGACCGAGGAATTAATATAGAGAGACGCGGGGAGAGCCATAAACAGGGAAAAGCCGGAGGCATGCAGGGACACGAAGGAACACGAGGGGAGAGAGACGTGAACACTGTGGGATATTAAGGGTGCACTAAGACTTCTACAGCCACTCGTCAAACCATATCCGTAAATGACGAGAAAAATCCATCCCAATAGGAACATCAGTGTACGTTGGAAAACAAAGATTTAACAACAGACACACACAAAGGTGAGCCCTATCCAGACTACTAGCTCGAAAGAACTGAAAATTTGGCCTTGTTGTTTCGAACCACCGACTCAAGAGTGTTGAGAAAATGTGGCCAATCCCAAAAGCAGGCAGCAGTGAAACAAAGACACACCCATGCATCGGTTTTCTCCTCATTAGGACTCATCAGTAGATTTATGTCATCAACAGTGGCGGTTGCCATAGGCCTCCGGGAGTCCCGTGCAGGCGCCGTCCTCACCGTACACGACGAGCACGAACCGATCGGCCCCGGCCACGCACCTTCCTTGGTGGTCTCTTGCGCCCGCGCCGCTTCCCCGCTCCCCGAGCGGTACACGGGGGTGACCGCGACGCTGTAGGCGGTGTCGGGCAGCAGCTCGGACAGGAGGGCGCGCGTCGCGTCGCCGGACACCTTCAGCTCTTTGGGTGCCGGCTCCCCCGCCGGGCCGCCCGGCGGCCGGGCCAGCACGCGGTAGTGGAGCACGCGGCCCGGCGCCGCCGTCCACGTGGCGAGCATGCTGCGCGTCTTCACGTCCGAGAGGAGCAGCTCGCGAGGCGTGCCGGTCACTGAGAGATGGTGGCAGCAGACACGGGCACAAGGAGGAAGCAAGCCGGTGATTCGTCGCAGACAGGGCACGCGCGCACACTCACAACACTGGAGTGGTAGTCAATTGCAGAGCACGCACGGGGATGAGGAGCACACACGCAAGCGAGCCACACGCTCATGACATTGGAGTGGCATTCACTGTGGAGCACACACCGGGACGAGCAGTACGCATGCAGCGAGCGGGTGATTACAAATTACCCCCACTCTGCCCCCCCCACCCCCGCCGCATCATCTGGAGGAATGGAGGCTCAGACAGCCTCTTCGTTTACGTGATTTGTGTTCATGCTGACGAGGGCCCATTGAGCTAAATAGCTCTCTCTGGCCACACTCCACTCAGCCCATCGCTGCAGCTGGATGCACGTCAAACCGGTCGCCCACGTTCGCGTGTCTTCTGACTGCCCCTTTCTCTGGAAACCTCAACCCCGTTTAACCTCGACCCCATTTAACCTCAACCCCGTTTAACCTTCGACTGTAATCGGCTCTGCACCTCCAGTCAAACTTCCGCATGTCACACACCTCCAATTAGCACGGTTGGCTATGTACGGTGCGAAATAATTTCAACATACATACATGCCGCAAGTCCCAAGAATAAACCGATCTTGGCTCTGACCACTCTTCCTCGAGCCATCTCTCTCTCTATCTCTCTCTCCGCGTGAAGCTTCTGGATAATGGTGATGCCTGATCTTTTGGCCGCCCATGGGGTTCTCAAAAACGGCCAAAAGAAAAACCACAACTCTGTGACCATGATTTTCCTTTAACTGTCAGAGGCCAGCTCACGGCTCCATACAGAAGCACAGAGAGAAAACAGGCAGACTGCAAAATAAAACATTTGTGTATCCCTATTGGCATGAACATCCCTCCACATCGGGTCCCAGCTCTTTAATTTCTGCAGGTGATCAACAATGCTTAGTACACACAACATCGGGGTGCCGGTTACTGGAGAACACACAGCGGTTGGAGCAGCTGTACAGCACGCACATGATTATCATCGTCATCATCGTCAGCCATGATCTATCCACGGTTTGATGAAGGCTTCCCCATGCCAACGTCGTCCCTCATAGTGCTGTGAATTCACAATCCATCTCGCTCCTTCACACGAGCTGGCCTCATCACTCTCTCTCCATGGTGGTCGTCCTCATTCCGTCACCAGCCTCGTCCATCAGCCAACGTCCCTGCTATCGACATGTCCTCCCCTAGCCCTCGTATTTACCATGAACAGACAAGACGATGTCTCTAATTCGTGTTTGTTCTCTGATTCATGCGTTGCTCTTCATATCTCACTCGATATAAATCTGAGCATGGATCTCCGCATGCTCCTCTGCACACTTCTCAGCTACAAATTTACTCTGCCCACGTTTCTGATGCGTCCGGTGTCGCGGGCAGAATGCACTGAATGGCAAATTTCTTCTCGATGCAAACCGATACATTACTTTTCATAACCAGTTTTCCAAAAGGACCACACTCGTTTGCCTCTCCCTAGCATGATTTTCATCCCAATCTACCTTCACAAAACCCCTGGGTATATGAACCCCAACGCATTTTCTGGTCGTACTGTCCCTCCAATTATATGTTTTTTTTTGCGAACGTGTTGCGCGTGACCTTTAACTTGTCCAGATTAATCATTAGGCCATCTTTGTATCCTTCCACTTATGTATGCACGGATTTATGCAACACAATCGTCAATAAATATAATCCGAGGTTTTCTGTGCGCGTGTCCTCGTCTGACTGCTCTTCCCAATTTGTGCTTTGTAACTTTTCACCAATCTCCGTGGCTCCATCTGCACACGTGGTTTTACATAATGTCTAGATTTTATTTTTATTCGGACCGCGGTTTATGAGTACTCGACTGAATGAAGCCCACTTTTGACTTAAAACTTTCGTGACTGTAGGAATTCATATTCTTGGTTCTTTCGGTAAAGTCACGTAAATAGAAAAAAAAGAACCAAGAATATGAAACCAACTTTCTTTCGTCCGCAAATGCTCAGCACAGTGGCATTTCACATTCCTTTGGCTTATTTCTCGATTTATCGTCATGCGGTCAATGGTTGGAAAAAAACTTTTTTTTTAACCAGTTTGCTCATGTAGTTGGTTGGCTTTTAAAGCATCCATTATTCAGTTATAACGTTCATGAATAATGTGTACACACGATAGGAGACCCATGGGTTTGTTCTTCCTTAAATCAGTTTTGTCTCCACTTGGACAGAGTAATGAATGAGGGATCATTCTTTCATTCAAACATGTCATTCCGGCATAAACATTTACTCTAAATATGTCAACTAATGTTATTTTGACCGCTGGGTCCCGCTTCTTCGATAAAGTCCACAGCTATTCCAATTTGTCTGGGAGCTTTCGCTCTTTTAATCCCTACTGCAGGTGAGATATCAAGAATAAGCACCTCCTCGTCGTGTTTCTCACAATGAGGCTACGGAAGGCCGAGGTGCGGAAGAGCGGAGGATCATGCGCTCGTCACCGCCATCAGCCACCTGAGCTGGCTGCAGGGCGACTCTCTGTGTAGCCCCCTCACCCCAGAAGCCACGCGGATAAAACCTGTCAAAATCCCAGGGCCCCACGCCAACTAGGCAGGGCTCATGGAAAAAATGTAACTTTTTTCATTTCATTCGTTGTGTTTTTTTTCTCGTGCATTTTTTCTTGCCGCTTGGTGATACAGAGTGAACCATAAATCGGTTGACGCAACGCGTGACTGTCAAAGCCGACACAGCTCAAAGGCAGCTCTGATGGATTCTGTTCTCGTGATGAAATGTGGAAAAATAGGAAGCGGCTCCGCCGTTAGCGGTGACCTGTCTCCTAATTTGTTCATCAAGGACTCTCGGAACGCGCCGAACCCTGGCCGGTACCACGGCCCCCGCGTGCCAAGGCACGCCCACACTCCCGCCCGCTCACACTCCCGCTGGCCCGCCCGCCAGCCGCACCAAGCACCCATAAATGTGTATAGCTCCCCGTTGGCCTTTGAATTGTAATAAAACGCCTCCGTATAAATTTTAAAATAATATATTTTTTACAAAAGCAATCCTCACTAAATCTCGTTTTTTTCAGCAGTGTCCTATTTTGGGGGTTTTAGTCAAATTTGTCTCCGCTTTAGTTTAATGCGCAACACTGGCGCCATTGCCGAGAGTGTAAGAAACAGGCAGATGATACGTCCCCTTCCCATCATGTGTCCCTCCACGTATAAAATGTAAGGATTTTTTTTATTATAAATCCCATCAGTCACACGGCCTCATGGGAGTGCATAGTTTCAGCAGCATTGGTTTAGCGCAATCAAAACTCTGGATCAGTTTCAACATTCAGTGTCTCGTTAGCAGAGTCAGCCTTGCTTGAACCAATACTTGCTTTAATAGGCAGTGCAGCATGGGCCTCTCTACACATTTTTCCACGATGCAAATCCTGCAAGCTGGCCTTGGCACGTGCTGCTGGAGGCCTTGAGGAGGTTGTGGTGGGTATTAAGCTAAAGGTGCCCGACGCAGACTGAGACTTGGAGACCCAGGCTTGCGTTTAGCTAGGAAAACACATCGAGCTCAGCAGCTCTGTGACAAGGACGACCGTGGTGGGGATGCGGGGCAATGGCTGCCTCCACCGCTGTGAGGCCCACCGAAGAGGGGAGAACTACAACACTCCAAGTGGCGCTTTACGACGCAGCTGACTAAACCCGGGACTTTGAGCGTCAGATTTCCTAGGGCAGCAAGCTGCCTTGCTGGGTGATCCTGGAGAACCAGATACGGGTGGCAACCCGACTCCCCCCTGCCGTGATCCAGACATGCTTCCAAGGCACGGTTGTAAGATCTCACAGGCAAAGTCGTGTGCATGAGAACACTCACCTGCAGAGATCTGCAGGAAAAAGTACACCAAGTAGACTGCTAACCGATCAGTGTGGGGTTGTGAGTGATGTACGCTTGTAAGTGTCGCTGCTCTGCCTTTCTCCCACACAAAACACTTACTGGATAATAAATTAGCCAAACATCTCAATCAGGATCCTCTTTTTAAATGTCCTAAGGCTTTCTTGGTTAAAACAAGAATGATAGTTATCATGGAAATAGGAAGCCGATCCTCTGCTTGTTTTCAACACAGCTTTGCTATACTTGCAGATTACTGCAGATGACTACTGTGTAGTTTCAGTAAATGGACTGCATAGCCCTCTGACGTGTTTTCAGGACGTTCATGACGAAGCTCCTGGGCACGTGGAGTAATAAGTCGGACATTGTGTATCAAACACAGTGCAATATAAAAGTATTGAGAGCTCGGGGTAAGCATTTACACTATGAGATCTCTTTTACCAGTGGCAAAATATAGTAGTAGGTTTTTACACTTTTAAACTGGTACAAAACTGACACCTTTATTCAAGGCATCATGTTTGCAATAACCACAACACAAGTAGTCAAAAAAGCAAACAAAAAGAAGCAACTCTGATAATGATAATAATATGCACTGTCCTTGAAGTTGATTGGTCCACACCCTAAATATTGTAAAAACGCAAACAATACCCACTTGTGCGGGCCTGCGTTTTGAAATACGTTTCACAAAGTAAAATCGGGCACGATACATCCGCTTCTGTCTTTTGCGAGCCGCTCGCCGCGCGCGAGTTATGCGCGTTGCTGTAAATCGGACTCGTTACGATCACAATTCATTTGTGACTCGCGTAAACATCCCAAACGGCGTGGCTCCCTCTATTACCAACGGTTCTGCTATGAGGGCAACGCGAGCTGTCAAACCCCCGTGGCCATCGCTCAGACGAGCCAAGGTCACAGCACGAATGCTCACACTCCCTCGCACAACTTCTCCGTTAGTAAACGCCTCACCAAATAGACATGCCACTGACGTGCCTGACAACAGACACAACGGCATGGCACTACGCCGTGTTTATTTAAACAAGGCGCTCAGGCACTCGCCTGTCATCGCCACCTCGGCTACATACACACGGTCACGCGTGTGCGTACCTGGTCAAACGATTGCAAGCAGCACGCACGCATGATGAAATGCGCACACGCATACACAGACAACTCCACACAGCTTGTGCCCTGCAAGTGACTCGCAGCGCAGGGACGGCAAGCGCTGATCAGACACACGAAGAACACGCACGCAACTGTCTCGAGCGATACCGAACACTCTCCTGCATCGCGGCACATGGATGCTTGCACACAACCAGACAAGCAGCACACACGTCGCCGGTGTGGCTTGATAATAATTGGCACATTTCGTATTCACGCCATTCCTGTAGCACACGGCTCTCAGGAAAGGAGGCAGATGTTGCCGTGTGGTTTTATCCAGCTGGGGTAATTCACTGGTAATGATAACATTTTTGGGAAATTTGAACCGTGACAACGGCAATACATCATCTGTTATATATTTTTTAAATGTAACAGGATCTTTAATGTTCACCGTGAAGCAGACGTCGCGGAGTATTGATGGTTGATACACTCGTGGTATTGGCCAGGGTGGTCGCTGGGCTCGAACCATACACTTCTGCAACAAGTGGCAGACATGCTACCGTTCAGCCCCGCTACTGCCCCCAACATCTCAAACAGGTATCATGCCAGCATACCCCACTGCCTCACAAATAAAGACAACTATCCCCTTGTAGCTTTAACAGACTGTTGGGACAAGTGCTGTTCGCGAGCACTTATGAAGGCCGGCACGGCACACAAGGGGGTGGGTGGCCGGCACACACAACACACACACGCGCTTGCTTGCTTGCCCGTACCTTCCAGCGTCTTGCCAGGGCCTTGCAGCTCGGGCCCATCACCGGACGCGTAGATCGCCACCACGGAGAGCTCGTAGCGCGTGTCGGCTGTGAGGCCCGACAGCAGTGCCGATGTCTGTGCCGCCGGCACCACCATCTCCCCGGGGCCCGGTCCTGTGGAGCTGCCGGCCGCGTGGTAGCGCAGGCGGTAGTGCTGCACCCGGCCCGGCGCCGGCGCCCAGCTCAGCCGCAGGCTGCTCTGGGTCTCGTCCGACACGGCGAGGTCGCGCGCTGCTCCCAGCACTGTGTGGGGGAGCGGTGGCACAGCGTTCAGCGCGCTGCGCGACAAACCTGAGGAACCCGAGTTGAATTCTCACCCGAGGTCGACTCAAGGCTAACCACTACACTACCGCTCCCTGCATTACAGAGAACACCACACATGCACACTGCTGCGTGAAGGCCTCCCCGTGCTGTGACGGTCACGAGTGTTTTTTGACCATACTTCACCACGCTGGCCAATGTGGGTTGTTAAAGGGAAGTGCCCAGGACTGGTTCAGATGACTGGTTCAAATAATTATCACTCGCCACTGATGTTAGCCATTACCAGGAATCGGACTCATTGGTAGATTTTTAGAGGAATGAGCAAACAACAGTACCAATATTCTTACACATGACGTGTATACGTATCTCTCCAGTGTTGTACTGAATACGTACAAATGTGAATCACAGAGTTGTAGCTTTATCCGTTACTAATCTTAGAAAGCTGTCACCGATTCCTCGTGCACCATGATGATATGTAGGAACATATATTGGGGCTGGCAGGGTGGCGCCTCTTCTGCATGCCTTTTCTCTCGGTTCTCCGGTTCTTTTCCCTAGCTAACAAAAAATAAATGTACAATGTAACTGGAATTGGCCCAAAAAAATCCCAAAGCTGAAAGTATGACATGCGAGTTACTCAATTGGGATCACACACCGCAGCAACCTCACCTCGACTTAGAACACCTGGCAGCAGGAATCTCCTAAGAGGAAAAGGTTCTTGGGAATAAATGTGTGCTGAGAGTTTTTTTTTTTTGAGAATCAGCGAGGCTTTACTAGGTAAACAAGCTAAATAAAAACAATAAATACATTTAAGAGCACACTGGCGCATTGATTTGCAAGGCATTTTCATGCGTGCGTGTTCAATTGTGTTTTTGTTGTAGATGGTCGTGGGACAAATATGACCGTGAGAAAAAATATTTTTGGGTAAAAATTCCACAGCCACAGTAAACTACCGGCTATCTTCATCGGTGCGACACAAATGCCTTGGTTATTATGCACGAGCGGGCTGAGCGAGTTACTGGAATTTGTGTTCGATTACCTCCAGGATATTTCCTCCACCTTCCTTGTAAGGCTCCGCATAAATAAAGAAGCGATTGCAGCCGTAATCTCTGCCGTGTGCTTTCACACGGAGAATAAACAAACATTGCCTGGGACCATTATTTCACAACTAGCGGCCCTCTATAGAACCGGGGCCCTGGCACGTCAGGGACACGCTGACCCCTTCACTAATCTGGTTAAGGAGACAGTGGGGAAGCTTGGTTGTTTTTCCGTGCCAAACCCTTTAATTCTGAGCAATTATATCACTGCTGCTATGCAAAGCACAATTTTGGCCAAAGTTTGAATCCTGTTGTCCTTTCTGCGGTGGAGCTCCCAGATCTTACTGCACTGCACCTGATCGGGCGTAACGTAAACAGTCAGCGTGATTGATGGTCCAGCACTCACTGATTCATTCCAGCCACTCGCTGACTGGCGGTCAGTCACCTCCTTATCACTTTACTATCGCTACTACCACAGTCGATTGTTCCCACAAACTTCACTCATCGATTCCTTCACCTACGTAGAGGACGTGGTCTCGACCAGAATGTTTAGTCTCATCTATACTGTGCTCAACCACCACACTGCAGGTCACACCAACACACCTACTCAACAACAACAACCGCCATTCGCCACTTAGTGTCGGTGACGTCAACACGTTGCTTGTGCCAAGCTTTGTGCACGATAAGGACACTCACTCACCCACTCTGCAGATCACAACAACACACTCACTCACCCTGCAGATCACAACAACACACTCACTCACTCACCCACCCTGCAGATCACAACAACACACTCACTCACCCTGCAGATCACAACAACACACTCACTCACTCACCCACCCTGCAGATCACAACAACACACTCACTCACCCTGCAGATCACAACAACACACTCACTCACTCACCCACCCTGCAGATCACAACAACACACTCACTCACTCACCCTGCAGATCACAACAACACACTCACTCACTCACCCACCCTGCAGATCACAACAACACACTCACTCACTCACCCACCCTGCAGATCACAACAACACACTCACTCACCCTGCAGATCACAACAACACACTCACTCACTCACCCTGCAGATCACAACAACACACTCACTCACCCACCCTGCAGATCACAACAACACACTCACTCACTCACCCACTCTGCAGATCACAACAACACACTCACTTACCCTGCAGATCACAACAACACACTCACTCACTCTGCAGATCACAACAACACACTCACTCACCCTGCAGATCACAACAACACACTCACTCACTCACCCTGCAGATCACAACAACACACTCACTCACTCACCCACCTTGCAGATCACAACAACACACTCACTCACTCACCCACCCTGCAGATCACAACAACACACTCACTCACCCTGCAGATCACAACAACAAACTCACTCACTCACCCACCCTGCAGATCACAACAACACACTCACTCACTCACCCACTCTGCAGATCACAACAACACACTCACTTACCCTGCAGATCACAACAACACACTCACTCACTCTGCAGATCACAACAACACACTCACTCACCCTGCAGATCACAACAACACACTCACTCACTCACCCACTCTGCAGATCACAACAACACACTCACTCACCCACCCTGCAGATCACAACAACACACTCACTCACTCACCCACTATGCAGATCACAACAACACACTCACTCACTCTGCAGATCACAACAACACACTCACTCACTTACCCTGCAGATCACAACAACACACTCACTCACTCTGCAGATCACAACAACACACTCACTCACCCACCCTGCAGATCACAACAACACACTCACTCACTCTGCAGATCACAACAACACACTCACTCACTCTGCAGATCACAACAACACACTCACTCACTTACCCTGCAGATCACAACAACACACTCACTCACTCACCCTGCAGATCACAACAACACACTCACTCACTCACCCACTATGCAGATCACAACAACACACTCACTCACTTACCCTGCAGATCACAACAACACACTCACTCACTCTGCAGATCACAACAACACACTCACCCACCCTGCAGATCACAAAAACACACTCACTCACTCACCCTGCAGATCACAACAACACACTCACTCACTCTGCAGATCACAACAACACACTCACCCACTCTGCAGATCACAAAAACATACTCACTCACTCACCCTGCAGATCACAACAACATACTCACTCACTCACCCACTCTGCAGATCACAACAACACACTCACCCACTCTGCAGATCACAAAAACACACACACTCACTCACCCTGCAGATCACAACAACATACTCACTCACTCACCCACTCTGCAGATCACAACAACACACTCACTCACTCTGCAGATCACAACAACACACTCACTCACCCTGCAGATCACAACAACACACTCACTCACTCACCCTGCAGATCACAACAACATACTCACTCACTCACCCACTCTGCAGATCACAACAACACACTCACTCACTCACCCTGCAGATCACAACAACACAGTCACTCACTCACCCTGCAGATCACAACAACACACTCACTCACTCACCCACCCTGCAGATCACAACAACACACTCACACTCACCACACTGCAGATCACAACAACACACTCACTCACTCACTTACCCTGCAGATCACAACAACACACTCACACTCACCACACTGCAGATCACAACAACACACTCACTCACTCACCCTGCAGATCACAACAACATACTCACTCACCTACCCACTCTGCAGATCACAACAACACACTCACTCACCCTGCAGATCACAACAACACACTCACTCACCCACCCTGCAGATCACAACAACACACTCACTCACTCACCCTGCAGATCACAACAACACACTCACTCACCCACTCTGCAGATCACAACAACACACTCACTCACCCTGCAGATCACAACAACACACTCACTCACTCACCCTGCAGATCACAACAACACACTCACTCACCCTGCAGATCACAACAACACACTCACTCACTCACCCTGCAGATCACAACAACACACTCACTCACCCTGCAGATCACAACAACACACTCACTCACCCTGCAGATCACAACAACACACTCACTCACTCACCCTGCAGATCACAACAACACACTCACTCACTCACCCACTCTGCAGATCACTACAACACACTTACTCACCCTGCAGATCACAACAACATACTCACTCACTCACCCACTCTGCAGATCACAACAACACACTTACTCACCCTGCAGATCACAACAACACACTCACTCACTCACCCACCCTGCAGATCACAACAACATACTCACTCACTCACCCACTCTGCAGATCACAACAACACACTCACTCACCCTGCAGATCACAACAACACACTCACTCACCCTGCAGATCACAACAACACACTCACTCACCCTGCAGATCACAACAACACACTCACTCACCCACCCTGCAGATCACAACAACACACTCACTCACCCTGCAGATCACAACAACACACTCACTCACCCACCCTGCAGATCACAACAACACACTCACTCACTCACCCTGCAGATCACAACAACACACTCACTCACCCTGCAGATCACAACAACACACTCACTCACCCACCCTGCAGATCACAACAACACACTCACTCACTCACCCTGCAGATCACAACAACACACTCACTCACTCACCCACTCTGCAGATCACAACAACACACTCACTCACCCACTCTGCAGATCACAACAACACACTCACTCACTCACCCACCCTGCAGATCACAACAACACACTCACTCACCCACTCTGCAGATCACAACAACACACTCACTCACCCACTCTGCAGATCACAACAACACACTCACTCACTCACCCACTCTGCAGATCACAACAACACACTCACTCACCCACTCTGCAGATCACAACACACTCACTCACCCACTCTGCAGATCACAACAACACACTCACTCACTCACCCACTCTGCAGATCACAACAACACACTCACTCACCCACTCTGCAGATCACAACACACTCACTCACCCACTCTGCAGATCACAACAACACACTCACTCACTCACCCACTCTGCAGATCACAACAACACACTCACTCACTCACCCTGCAGATCACAACAACACACTCACTCACTCACCCTGCAGATCACAACAACACACTCACTCACCCTGCAGATCACAACAACATACTCACTCACCCACTCTGCAGATCACAACAACACACTCACTCACTTACCCTGCAGATCACAACAACACACTCACCCACCCTGCAGATCACAACAACATACTCACTCACTCACCCTGCAGATCACAACAACACACTCACTCACTTACCCTGCAGATCACAACAACACACTCACCACACTGCAGATCACAACAACACACTCACTCACCCACTCTGCAGATCACAACAACACACTCACACTCACCACACTGCAGATCACAACAACACACTCACTCACTCACCCTGAAGATCACAACAACACACTCACTCACCCTGCAGATCACAACAACACACTCACTCACTCACCCTGCAGATCACAACAACACACTCACCACACTGCAGATCACAACACACACTCACACACCCACTCTGCAGATCACAACAACACACTCACCCACTCTGCAGATCACAACAACACACTCACCCTGCAGATCACAACAACACACTCACTCACTCACCCTGCAGATCACAACACACACTCACACACCCTGCAGATCACAACAACACACTCACTCACTCACTCTGCAGATCACAACAAAACACTCACTCACCCTGCAGATCACAACAACACACTCACTCACCCTGCAGATCACAACACACACTCACACACCCACATTGCAGATCACAACAACACACTCACTCACCCTGCAGATCACAACAACACACTCACCCACCCTGCAGATCACAACAACACACTCACACACTCACTCACTCTGCAGATCACAACAAAACACCCACTCACACATGCACCCTGCAGATCACAACAACACATACTTCACTCACTTTTCCACTCCTTAGGTCACAACAACACTCACTCACTCACCCACCCTGCAGATCACAACACTTCTCTTTCTGCTTCTTCCCTCACACTGCTCCACTTTGGAATCCCCCCCCCCAATCTTCTCTTGTCTCAAAGCCCTCATAATAACATTGCTCAGTTTATGCAACGAGTTGACACTTTATCGATTACAACGTCGGAGAGTGCTATTTGTTGCTGGCCACTTGGCATTTTGGGCCTTTGAGCGCCCGCGCTCAGTAACGGTGGAATAACACCAACAATGTAATTGTGATGTACAGGACGTGCTGCCCTCTCACAGGGCAGGATTCAGTTCACAGGCAGCAGCCGCAGCAGCAGCACCAGCAGCAGCCCAGCACCAGCAGCAGCAGGGTGGCAGCCTGTGCACGTGCCTCACGGCAAGAAGCGTGTGGGTTCTGTTCTCAACTCGGGCACCTTCCTGCGTGGAGTTTCTCTGGCTTCTCTGGATTCCATGGCTGAAAAAACGAGACCATGTAATGGGCATTGGCCAAGACATCCCAACGTCATGCCCTACAGCGAAAACTTGGCAGGACCCTCCTCCAAAAAAATATAGTCTTGAGGGGTTCACCTTCGAGGGTCGTCTCCTCCCCCGTGAGCGGCTGGCTCTCGCCCTCCGCGTACAGCGCGAACACGCGGACGCTGTAGGTGGTGTCGGGCGCCAGCCCCACGAGCTGCGCGCTGCTGTCGTTCCCGGCGACGGTCACAGACCCCGGGGCGGCGGGAGTCGTGGCGGGGTCGGAGGTCAGCGCCGAGTACTCCACGCGGAAGCTACGCGCGTCCTCACGCGCGGCGTGCCACGACACGACAAAGCCTTGGGGCGTCACGTCCGACGTGGAGAGGTTTTGCGGAGGTAGCAGGGATCCTGGAGGGGACACACACGGACACACGCGTCGTTACTCCACGCTGTAAACAGCAGACCCCTCATAGCTGGAAAGGATAGGGCAGATGCATTTCTGTGGTCCTCAATGATTGATGAAACAAGAAATGCCTCTCTTTTATACGAATTCAATGAATAAGTCTGTGTCCACATTAGTTAGCAAAGGAAATGACTTCAGTTGCCATCGATTGGATTCAATGTTCTGGTTGAATTTTCTGCGTTCACAGTCAGTGGTTGGCTACTGTGTGGCCCCACATAAAGACCCACAAAATCACATAGACACCCGCAAACTCGCGCATGGTTCTCAATGGGGTTCACTACCGTGTGGGCGATGATCTGGCCAGTGTTTCTGCAATCACATGTGGAGTCAGTTGCACATGCAAACAGGTTTTATTTGAGTTTCCACTTTGTAACGGTCGTAGTGGGTGGAGCTGTCTTGAGATGTGTGGATTCACTTTACTGCAGACCACTGTTTTCAAGGTTGAGATGAAACAATAAAAAATGCATATAAATAGACAGCGGTGGGTCCGTTTCATCACCAAAACAACAACGGGTCATTTAAACCTATTAGGCAATGGATCTTCGATTTCACCATCAGTGCCTGTTGAAAGAGCGCAAACCTTTGGCTGGACTTGACCTCTCTGGGTATCACCAGCAGGGTGTGGCCCGGGTTAAAATTAACGCCACACCTGCCGGGTGTGCCCAGCGCCAGCGGCCGAGAGCTAACCGACGAACGTTGCATGGCCACTGGCGAAAGAAGCGCTCATCGCTCGTTCCTCATCGCGCAATGCGCAAGGCACCGTCGCGTGTAACCACAGCGTCGTCGAGGAACGACGCACCCTTCCAGTGCATCTCCCCCCCCCCCCCCCCCATGTAACAACTGCAGGCAGCTCTTGACGCGTACGACTCTGGAATGCGACTCCTCGCGTCGGCTTCCTACCGCGTGGCGAGTGGTATTTTGCAGAGCACGTCAATCAACTGGGAGCAAAGCAATGGGGTCTCTCAAAATGAAAGAACCAATCGTTCACGTTCACTCGGACGCTATATCGTGATGTCCCACACGGAACGTGCCAGGTCTCGTCAGATCTCGAAAGCGAAGCCGGGTCAAGCACGGAGAGAGTGTGAATGAGCGACCGCTGTGCGTAACAGGTATTATAGGCTGTGGGGCTACTTGGAGGGCAGCATTGTTGTTCTGTGTGTCTATGCTCCCTCCATCTTCACCAACCCGCACCGACCAGCGTGGTGAAGTATGGTCACATAGCCGGCATGGCTCGCACAACATTGGGAGGCCATCATTCAGCAGTGGAATGGTACAGGACTCTCCATGTACCACGTGTTGATTTCAACACCGTTGAATACAGCCCCGCGGTGACCCGTAGCCAGGAGTGCCCAGGCGACTAGTGACCTCAATGAACTCCACTTGCGCACGGCCCAGGGCATTGCAGGCCAGCATGTGGCACAAAGCATCGTGCAAAAGCCGTTCCGGAAGAGACTGTTCCCGAGCGAATACCCCGGCGCGGCACAGCACATGGCTGTGCGCAGCGCCACGAGCACGAGGACCAAGCAAAAGCAGCGCACGGGGAAGATCGAATCTCTCCGTGCCATATCCCGCTTGGGGTACGTAGAGCGCTGACGCGGCAGTTAGCAGTCCGCCCCGGGAACCCGGCGAGAGATCGTTGAAGCAGTTCAGCGTTACCCCCTTTTACCAGTCCCGCTAATCGTCAACAAGGAACCGATTATTCTTTGGTTCTTTCGGTAAAGTCACGTATAAAGAAAAAATTATAAATTAAATAATAACATACGACGTTTCGATTGCAACACAAAACGTCGTATGTTATTATTTAATTTATTATTTTTTCTTTATACGTGACTTTACCGAAAGAACCAAAGAATAATTCCTGCAGTCATGAAAGCTCCAAAGTTAAGAAGGAACCGATTCCCCGTGGACGACCCTGCAATCCACCTGCCAGGGTTCCGAACCGGCCAAGCCTTCCTGTTTCCAGCAAGGTCTGCACCGGTGTGGCTTTACGCACCATGCCGGACTGTAGCCGTCGCGCAAGACGGACGATGTCGCTAACCATGCCTCATGGCAGTCATAGGACGACGTCTCTTTCTGCGAATAATGAAGCTGCTTCCCGACTCAGTGCACATGTACATACTAAATAAATATAAATAAAGACATGCCCCGCACCGACCGTCGTGGTTAAGAATGGTCAAACAACACCCTTGACCGACACAATGCAGCGGAGTGCTTCACTGAGAAGTGGGTTGATGAAGGAATGCACATTATTATTATTTAAATATCTGACTTTGCAAACAAACAACCTAAGAATAATGGTGTTTTATTACATTCCGCCAGAATATGACTTTCACTTAAAATAGTTATTTCAGTGGGGATGATCACAAACCTGGCTCCCAGATCACATTCAGACATCCCTGAGTCACACACGGGGCATGTTTCACATTCACGAACTTGTTTTCCACATTCCAATAATTCGTAGGTAATCGCGGTGGTCAGCGCATTCCTTGACAATATATTATTCCTACTTTTCGGTCATAATAACACGCTGGGCGCATTGCCAAGCAAACAAGAGAGAGAGAGAGAGGACAGAGCTAATGACAGGTAATACAAGACGGTTAACATCAACAAACCCCATTCGAGAGGGAGGAGAATTCAGACGGATTCGCGTCTCTAAAGACACGGAACGACAGGCAGGATGGGGGGCACTGCAAACAGTGGGACGCCGTAACGAGCGTCGTCATTTGATTTGGAGCTTTCGAGACTGCAGGTTCTTTCGGTAAAGTGAGGTAGAAAGAATAAATAAATTTAATAATAGAATACGACGTTTCGATTGCAACACAAGCAATCATCATCATGTACAAATGAAAGAGAAAACAAACCTATTAAACTTAGAAATATAATGCAATACAACAGAGAGAGTCGGCGAACATAACAGTCAACACCCTACCTGGTTGATTACGTTCTTCCAAAGATTGTTTTTCTCAGATGAGAATGATGCTCCAGAATCACAGATATTAGAGCAAGTAGCCACTGCCCTGAGCAATAGAAAACAATGGAAAGCTCCGTAACCAGATGGAATTACTGCGCTCAACATCAATGAAGTGGAACCAGCTGTTAAAACACAATGATCTAACCTGTTCCCAAATATTTAAACACAAGTGAAATACCGAAATCCATTCAAAAGGAGAAACAATGCAAATTTCAATAATTACAGTGCCATTAGCCTCCTGTCACGCGCGTGCAAGAGAATCATGAGAATCATCGGGGCCACCCAAACGACCGTGACGAGTGCAACTGGATTAGGAGAGCTTTCTACAGCACCGACCACACACACCACACTGCTAATCAGATCCACGCGAGACATCAACCCGGACTGCGAGGGATCGCAAAGACGCGGGCAGGACTTCAGCCAGCAGAGGATAGACACCGGGTTGACGAAGAAGATGACGATGATGGCGATGGTACACAAAAATGAACAAAGGCGAGTCCGATACAAAACTTTATCAACGAGCTCTGATCTCGGCTGGAACAAAAACAAAAATACCAGGCTGGTAGCAACTCGTCTCCCTCGTGATGTGATGAATGGTCATGGCCCAGGCGTTCTATTCGATTCCAAACCCAATTCCCATTGTGGCGTTCTGGAGCGCGAACTACCCTCTAGTGGCTGCTGGGTTTACGTGGACGATGACAACACGGCACAGGTTTATTGAAAATCATCGATGCGTACAGGCGCGATTCGACCCTTGGAATCAAGGTCAATCACTGACCGGACAAGCCGCTACTTACGTACAATACTCACGGTGGGGGTGTCACGTGAACATAACGGGTCGAGAACCAGTTGTTTGACAAAGGCGGCCACGAGATTGAATGCGCAATGGCTTTGACAAGATTACTTAATAGGGATAACACACACGGCAGCAATCATCGCCACCTACTGGCAGACTAATGCCGGTTTGCTGACCAGGTGCCAAGTCGCCTTGTTCCCACAGAGACAGCTGCCATTGGGGGTGCCCTTTGAATGTGTTGAAATGAGATGCGATGTGAAGCGCTGAGATGCGATGCGAAGCGCTGAGATGCGCTGGCATAGACAGCATCGCGATATCGAAAACAGCATTGTCATCATCATTGTTGATTCTCAAGATAAATAATTACATTGCTGCTAGGAACTTCACTTTGAAAGCCAGTTTGTGCCACTCGACCGGTGAAAGAAAACTCATCTCACACTGACGTACAACGCACATGGAGGAGCCCAGTTGCCTGCTAATCGCTCACACTCACACAATGCATATTCAGTTTAACTTTGGGGCTTTCGCGGTCAGTATTATCCATAAGAGGTTTTTGGGTTAGATCGCGTAAATGTAAATGTGTCGTTAAATCCGCCACTACCCACACAGCCAATTAGTAAGGATTTTCACGCGAACAATACAAGCCAATTAGTTACTAGTTCGGCACACCGGTGTGTTGGAGCGTAAACTCGCAAAATTTACAATGGTCATTGTTGTTACAATTACAATTGTACATGTAATGCATATTGAGGTGTGTGAACTGTTTGAGGGGTGATTAAGCCACATAGGACACTGCCACAACGGTGCAATGGTGAGCACACTGCACTTGCTCATCCAGAGATCGCCGGTTCAACCTCCCGGTGTGGCAGTTGAGTCACCGTGGCAAGTTCTAAATCCCCCCCTCCCCCACCACTCACGTCTTCTGGTCACCCAGCAGTGTAAATGGGTTGACTGCAGTTTATTGATTGGCAGGTCGCATGCGGTGCTGTGGAAGTGCGGCTACTTCCACCTCTTCCAAGATGCCTGGCCGGTGTGGAAGAGTACGCCCAGAAACACTCTCTAGAGGGACTCTCTAGAGCTGCGTTTCGGGAAGGCCCCTTTGTCCGCTGCGCATTTACCTTTACCCTAGCCACACGTAGCAATGAATTAGCCACGTGCTCGTAGAAGGCACCTGCAGA